CTGCTGGGCGCGAGCCGCAGACCCGCCCGTGCTCCGCCGCGCCCCCTTCCCCCTCCCCCGGGTCCCCCACCTCCTGGCTCCCGGCCCCGCCCTCTCCACCCCTTCCTCACCCAGGACAGCACGTGGGAGACTGGGATGCCCCGAGGATGCCTGCCAGGAGGCTGGGAGGGCGACTCCATCAAGATGCTAATGACGGCGGCGACGGGGGCGGGAGGGGGTGTACCTGGAGGGAGGGCCATTCCTGGACCCTATTCCACAGGTGGGAGCCTCACCAAGCATGCGGGTGCTGCCCAAGTTATTTCTTAGTAGTTAGCACTTGGGGAGGAGACACATGCCATTTGATCGCCCTACTCTGCCTTATCCAGGGTCCAAAGGTTTGAGATCTTAATAGAATGGGGTCATCTAGCCTGGCCCCTCATGTGCCGCCCAAAGAGAAAATTCCACAAATAAGCCCCCTCCCTGGGGACAGAGTTGTTTTTTACCAAAATGAAGGTGTGAGGCAGCGATTACTTGAGGTGATTTAAACAAAGCAGATTTTACCAGGGATTAAGAGCCGGAACCCTAGAGCCAAATGGTCAGGGTGGCTTCCTGGATTCTGTCTGCACTCCCCTGTGACTTGGGTGACTGGCCCTGTTCATTTGCCAAATAGCACTTCTTCCTTGTGGGTTGCTAAATGTAAATGGAAGCACTGGATAGCTGGTATCAATTATTATCATCACCATAAGGGGACCGAGATCTAGTTGATTATCTCCCTATTCTGGCTCGGCGAAGAGGGGCTCTTAGACATTGGTGCAACACGTTGGAGGGCTGGTGTAGGCCCTGCGTTTTAATGAGGTCTGTCTGGTACTAATAACAACCCCCAGGGGGTGAGGAAACACTGTCTTGTTCGCAGGAACTCATCTTGTTAGCTCTACTTGGGGATTTTCTTCCTAGTAGCCAGTGGGCTTCTGTTCCTCTCCACCATCCCACCCCTGGTTTGTTTCTGGTTTCCCCTCCTTTTCCTCTCCACCCATCACTTTCAGGCATCCTTCCCCAGCTCTATCCCAGGGTTCTCCAGCCTCACCCTCTACATTTGAGCTTGTGCTCTAGGAGAGGAGTAAGACAGGATAGGCAGCCAGGACACTTCTAGAGTTGAACACCTATTTATGAAGTCAAAGGGAGGTGTCCACCTAAAGATCTTGCCCCTGGGCCTGGGGGTCAGACCCTTCGGTGCCAGTCAGTGGTCAACAAGAAAACACAGTTGGGATGGGGGAAGACAGGGAGAGGGGAAGAGAGAGGGAAAAAGAGAGATTGATTTAAGAAAATCCTTTCCACTCTATAAAATTTTGCATGCAGTTTTATTTTGGTGTATGGTTTTAGTTTTAGTTTTTTCGTTTTGTTTTTCTATTCTGATAGTTTTCCTCTACTCGACATTTTCCTTGGTACTAACACTGGGTATTTAAGTGTGTTTGGTGACATTTTCCCTGCCTGGCCCTAGCTTTTTGAGTGTTTTTCTGAAACTCTTGACCAGTCTTCCAGTACATTCTGATGCTTTCTACCTGGCACATAGTAGGTGTTTGATAAATGTGAATTGTATGAACTTATAGGACCCAGCTCTTTAATAGCTCTGTATAGCCTGCATTCAACAATTATCCAAAATGTTGATTCTTTTTCACCTGCAATATCCAATGAAGACCCAAGCCTTGGACTCACATTGTATACAAAGCTACTTCTATTTTCCCCTAGGCTGGCCAGTTAGGGGACAGACCCTGGCAGCTGGGCCTTACCTCTAACTGACCTCATCTACCCAGCTTCAACCCCAAAGATGCTGGAACTGTATCCTGGTGGGTTACCTTGGCAACCTCACAATGTCATCTGTTAGAATGTCCTAGGGCGGCAGCTTTTAATTCTATCACAGCGGTCTCATCGGGGGTCGTGTAATAGTGCTGTTTTTCCTCTGCTCACACTTCCTTCCCCTATGATTTAACACTAAGTACTTGGGGAGGGAGCCGAACACGGGGAAAACCAAGCTATTACTGCACAACAGGTCACAGATGTCCCCAGAACTGGGATCCCGCATGTTGGAAGTCGATGAAATGCAGGTCCCAAGTTAATGGGGAAGCTGGTTCTCCTCATGCCCCCTGTGGAAAGGAGGAGTTAACCCAGTCTAGGCAAGTGCAAGGTCTGTGTAATTCATGTCAGAGCTCCAGGGAAGGAGCCCCTACCCCCTGCCCCACCCCCACTGGAACAATTCTGTCCTGGCCTCAGCATTACCCCACTAGGGCGATGGATGAGGAGGCGTGGGCATCAGCAGCCAGAGCAATTTTGCTGCAACCTAGCTATGCTGATGCTTATGGGAAAGGGGAACCCCAGACAACATCCTGTTCTGCTCACCTTTTCCCACCCAAACCCAAACCAGTTCTACCACAGGTCAGACCCACCCTGCTCCCAATGTAGCTACAGCTAATTCCACTTCCCATGACTCTGAAGAGAGCAGGAACCACCTAGGGAAGAAAGTGGACATGGCAAAAGCATTGAGACCCAAAGCACTATTTATTCACAAGACCAGGAAACACGGAGCTTATGCCCACCCTGTGAATGGGCATGCTTCAGGGCTGGTTAGGAGAGATAAGTCAGCTCATCTACACCCCAGAGATGTGAGAGCTATTCATCATTATAGTAAATATTGGAAGTTGCTGTGCAGCCAAGGTGAGGTCACCTTTGGCCACAGTTCCTCCACAGTTACAGGAAGCTGCTCCATGAAGGGTGACTGTGGTTCCTGTCGACAGACATGGTGGCAGAGGCCCCAGTGCTGTGCCCCGGAGCCAGGGGTTTCTGAGCAGCCCCTGCCCTTTGTTCACTGTGATGGAACAGCTGTGGCAAGATGGTTCCTCTGGGTCACCCTGGAACAGAGCACACTCTAGCCAGTGTCACAACATGCCTTTGACTACCTCTGGGGAGTGAGGGTGTGAAATGGGGTGGGGACAGAGAGCTTGTTATGGCATTTTTTGCATACGCATTGATCTGCCCAGGACAGGGACTTTTGTCCAAAGTCTAGTCTAACTAATACTTAGAAAATGCCACCCACAGGCACTGCCAATTGGAGGAAATGTTGAATGAGAGCTAAATATTCCATTCACCCCCCCATACAATAAAAAAAAAAAATACTGTTATTCTGCTCTGAATCTGCTCCTCATTTTACCTCTGAATTCCCAGCCTGTGTGACAAGCAGTTCAGGGGACAGGGGCCCTCCTGTGGCTGAGATGGAATTGGCTCTCTGGAGCAAAGAGCCATTAGAGACTGAATCTCAGGAATAGTGTGTGAAGCTCGCTGCTGTTTACATCTCACACAGCCTGAGGGATTGCCTGGCTTTGCCCAAACCATCCACATCCACCCACCTTCATGGTTTAGTCTGTTAGTGAAACACATCTGTAGGCTTATTTATATTTGTGAATAAATTTTATCACCAGAGATGAGGGTGAATATCACCAGAGGTGAATATATGAATATATATCAAATATATACATGTTGTCGTGCATGCGTGTGTGCATGTGTTGGGCAATGAATTCCCATATGTGTCTGTATCATATATATTCCACAAATATAAAAAAAAAAAAAAGATTGTAGAAAAAAAGCATTAGTCTGTGTATTTGTTCCTTTCCTCATCACTGCGCTGAAACACCTGAAAGAAGCAACTTAGGGAAAGAAGGATTTATTTTGACTTACAATTTTGGGGAGATAGAGTCTATCATGATCTATCATGATGGGGAACCCATGGTGACAGGAGCTTGCTCAAGTCTCTCTGCAGGTCAGGAAGCAGAGAAACAGGACCTGGCTATAAACCAAGGCTGGCCACCTAGGGACCAACTTCCTCCATCTAGGTACCATTTCCTAAGGTTTCACAGCTCCCAAAACACTACCAGCTGAAGGCCAAATAACATGAATCTGTGGGGGACATTTCACACTGACCCTAAGAGTATGTGAGTTGCAGGACATGATTTGCCTATGGTAACTGGTATGGTCCCCCCTCTTTCACCTCTCCATCCTCACTATTTTGGGCTGTACTGTACTAATCAGTTCTTTTTCCATCAGTTTAGACATCGAGAAGAAACACAGTTTTCACAAAGGGTAAGAGTTAGGGCAACAATACTGGGGAAAAAAAAGTCAGATTCTTGGTTTTTGAGTTTTCAAAGTCAAGGTCCAAGTAAGTATAAAATGAAAAGGTTGAAAAATAGGAAATCAAACCAAAACACTGTCTGGTCGTATCTCCTTTCCTAAGCTCACTCACCATACCATAGATGCATGCCTTCCACAAGCCAATAAAACCTGCCAGAGTGGAGAAGGAGGAGCAAGGGGAAGGAGAGGAAAGGTCTAAGTATCAGGAGGGGTAGGGATAGTCCTGGGTCTGACTGGAGCCAGGATGCTAAGCACACCACCCTCAACATAAGTGGAAAGTATGCCTGCAAATCCTTGGGAACCCTGTGCACAGCTGCTCTGCTCCTGGAACCTGTGCAGGGGGTTAGGGGATCCAGACCTCTGGCAGACCCAGGAGGTGTGCTGTTGGGATTGACGCTGAACTCCAGCAGCAGAAGCCACAGCAACCTCAGGAGCATCCGGAGACTAACTCCCACTCCAGGGCTCAGACTTTGCCATTTCAGTTTTCTTGATTCCGTGATAAAATGCCCACCAAGAGCAGCTAACAGAAGGAAGTTTGCGTTGGCTCACAGTTTGAGAACACAGTCCACCATGGCCTGGAAGGC